AGTAGCACACACACTAGGTCCAATGATCATCCAATGTTTCTGATAGAAGATGGCAGGAAATCCATCAGATCCTGGAGATCCTAAACCATTCATATTGAAAACAGCTTTTTCTACTTCTTCGTTAGAAATTTGCTTAACCAAATCACTGTTTATTTCAGGAGTTATAACAGGTTTTACCACACGGATACAGTCCTCTATTCTCTCAGGCATTGACGAAGGAAATAATGATTGAAAGAATAATTGAAAAAGGTTGCTAACCTCTTCAGGTTTATTAGCAAACCTGCCATCATCACTTGAAATTTGCTTGATAACATTAGACTTCCTGCGTTGGTTAGCACACAAGTGAAAGAATTTTGTATTACGATCACCATCTTTTAACCATTGTTGTTTAGCTCTTTGCTTCCATTTGATATCATCTTCTTCCAGAAGTCCATCAATTTCTTGTTTGAGCTGCTGCAATTCTTCCTTTTTATCGCCTCTGTTTGTGTCTTCCAGATGCTTCAGCTGAGATAGCTTGTCTGTCACAGTATTCCTTTGGTTTCGGAAAGTGATTTTGCTCCAGGTGGACAGTTTTTCTTTGCACCTTTGGAGTCCTTCCATAGTACTTGGCAAACTAGAGTTCGGATTTAAATTGCAAAGCCATTCTCTTTGGATCAGCTCCCCATATTCAGCTCTATTAACCCAGGCAGCTTCATATCGGAAAGGCCTATGCTTTCTGATTTCAGTTTCCAATTCTCCTCTAATTTGGATGAAAATTAGTTTATGGTCAAAAGAAGAAACACTTAAAGAATTCACTATGCAATCTGAGAACAGTTCAAACCATGCCTTGTTTCCAAAGCCTTTATCTAATTTTTCCTTTGTGAAATACCATCCCTCTCTGCCATTATTCCAGGTGAAGAAATCTCCATTGAAAGGAATTTCACTGAGATCACAATCTAAAAGTGCTTCTCGAAAATTTTCCATTTGCCTGTAAGGTCTATCTGCAGCTCCGAACTTCTCATATTAGTGGCAAATTTCATTAAAGTCACCAATACACAGCCATGCCATATTCGATTGAGCTTTTAATTCTCTTAACAAGTTCCAGCTACCTGTTCTTTTAGAAGCATCCAGGTGTCCATAAAAACCTATTAAAATGAATTTCTGGTTTGTTGTTGGCTAATTAACGATAATAGAGATGTGATGTTGAGTATAGGACACCAAGTCCACTTCTTTATCATCCTTCCATAACATTGCAATACCACCACTAGCCCCTCTACTTTCAACAACAAAGCTGTATGAAAATCCAATCTTGTTTCTTATGAGCTCTAATTTATTACTGTTACACTTTGTCTCTATAAGGAAAACAAAGTCGGGACACTTAGTCTTCACCCAATGATGAAGTTCACGAACTGTCCGTGGGTTCCCAAGCCCATAACAGTTCCAGCTAATGCAAATCATTGGGTGTGGTCAACCATGAAAGTTGTAGGAGCAAAGTCATTTGACACTTTCTGTTTCTTGGGACTGTGTATCTCAGTTGATCCTTCTGCTATTAATCGTATATTCCTTTTTTTTTGTCTGAATAGAACCTTCCTTCACATTGATGTGATTAATGCCTCTAGCTTTCCATTTCCAAGTGGGCCTCTTAGATCCACCCGGATGTATAGCTTGGGAGGAGATTTCAGAAAGTTGAGGAGTTGCTGTCACATCCTGATGAGGAGGAGTTTCTTGCCAATCTTGAGCCATGACATCCTCAATTAAAGCATTTGTTTCTGGGAGAGAATCTTGGGTTGATCCTTTATTGGCAGAGATAATTAGAGAATTAATGGATGAAATATTCTCTGCATCTTTCTTGGAAAGTTGACCTGGCAGGCAATCCTTACCATATAACGTATCCATTGCAGAGTCAGTTTGAATGTTATTACTACCTTTCTTTATTATTTCCTGAGAATCAGCCTCCAACTCTTTCTGATCTGAATTTACATCTGTGCCCCTTGTATCACCAACAGCATCCATGGGAGGTGAATGAAAATGCTTTGTGCTTCGATCTGTTGAACCACCATAGCGTTTAGATTCCTTAGAATATAACTTTGATGTACTGGCTCGCAACCAAGGTCCGAATTGAGTATTGGATTTTTCAGTCTGTCTAATGAAAGAGCAACCTCTATTCTTATGTTTAAGAACTCCACATTTAAAACAGAAATTCTGTAAACGTTCATACTTGAAAGCAATCCAGTGCTTTTGCTCCCCAATCCTTAATATCCTTCCTCGAACCAGAGGTTTGGTAAGTTCAACCTCTACTTTCACCCTCAGAAAACTTCCCCAGCCCAAACCATTCTTGCCAACTTCCACTTCAAGAACTTTGCCAATTGCAGACACTAGTTGGACTCCATAATCGTTATTCATAGCCGCAAAAGGCATATTATGTAATTGAACCCAGAAAGGTTCATGAGTAAAACAGCTAGCATTAGAAGGAGTGCTACTATCAACTCATTGAATAGCGATCAAAGCCCTATCGAATGTCCAAGGTCGTCCGTTGAGGACTTTCTGCAGATCAGAGACATTTTAAAATTCTAGCAAAAATAATTTCTCACCAGCATCTGTAAAATGGATCCATCCATCCAGTTTCCAAACTTGAGACATGGTGGATCGAAATGCTTCCCTGCTATAATTTTTCTCCGTGACAAGGAGAGCCAGAAGGCAGTGTAAGAGTAAACTAAATATTAAGTAACTATTAAGGTAAATAACATATTTTTCAACCATTTGCATTCCAACAAATAGTATTCGATAATTATTAATACTTTTATGTTGTGAGTGATCATTAACATATTGGCAACTTAATATATATGTTGATCAAAATAATCCATGAGGGGTTTGCCCCTTCCTTATAAACACTTACATGTAAAGACCATTGTTGAAGACTTCGCAATACACTGTCCGAGGATTAAAATGGAGAAAGATTTGTGGAAAGGGTTGATTTTAGTGTGGCGGTTATATCCTGCTTCGTCATTTACTTCTAACACTAAAAATTAGGGGTGTGCAAAACCGGATATCCGATCCGATTTTTCATTATTCTAATCCAATTAGAAAATTCGAATCAAGATGAAACCTGATCCGAATCCGATCCATATTTTTTCTAATCCGGTTTCATCCGAATTTACATGGAAAATATCAATTTGCCCCCTAAAATTTTGCAATATTCTTATACTCCCTGCTACATCATCATTTTATTACATTTTGATCCCCAAAGTTGTCATCATATTTCAAAACGGTCCACATACTTTACCATAGGGGTGTTCGGTTCCGAGTACTCTGCATTTTTTGAAAGAATCAGAATCGACGATTCCTTGAAATTTGGAACCAGAACCGGAACCGACGGTTCCGATTTCTAGGTACCCAAAACCGAAACCTATAACAACGGTTCCGGTTCTGTTCTGGGTACCCTATAAAATTACATGACCCTCCAAAAGTTTTTAAAATGGTAAAAAAACCCTTAAAAACTTACAAATACCCCCCCACTTGGCACTTGTTAACAAAAATAAAATTACAAATTACAAATTCCATTACTTTATAAAGGTAGATTCTCAAAAGTCAAACCAACTTACTTTAAATTTTATGACATATAAATATAAATGTATTCACATTACTTTTTTTACAAAAGTTTTTATTAACCCCCTAATCTTTAATTTTATTTTCTATTAGTCTCAATTCCTGTTTTCGATTCCGGTTCCTAACTATAGGAACCAGAACCGGAATCGCACAGTAACGGTTCCAAAAATTTGGAACGAAAACCTACCCGTTGACGGTCGGTTCCGGGTAGGAACCGAAACCAAACCCCAGGTACCCGCCGGTTCCGGTTCCAACCGGTTCTTTTGAACACCCCTACTTTACCACTCTTCCCTAGGACCCCAAAATAACTTATTAAAACTTGTAGTTATGGACAAAACTGGAGCGGATCCGAATATTCTATTTCTTTGTAGAGCCGATCCAGTATTTGATCCGAAAATCCAAATATTCTAAAAATTAATATCCGAATCCAATCTGAATTTTCGGATATCTAATTTTTTTGAATTAGTTCAGATCGGATATCGGATTTTTTTGCATACCCCTGCTAAAAATGATGGGCTTGTTTGGTACATTATTTGAAATATGAGGCTGTGTTTGGTAGGCTATTCTCACCCTATCTTATTTCACTATCCTATCCTAAAAAATAAAAAATGTGTTTGTTTTAATATTGTTCAAAATTCAATCATATTCTATTGAACTAAACACATTTTAACAATTACCTTTCTCAATAAAAGTTTTAAAATTAACAAAAACACCCCCACCCACCCTACTTTTTGCCGACAACCAGCCATCATCACTGGACAATGGCCGTCAATCGCCGGAATGGCGCACGACCAACTAGATTTGGCCAATCGTGGGCCACTTTTTTTTTGAGCCAGATCCATCGTAAATCTAACTGTTGGTAGCCAAATCTGGCCACATCTATCTGACCATTGACGATGGCCAGATTATGGCTGTAGATTTGACTTTTTTCGGCCAGATTCACAATAGATCTGTCTAGAAAAGGTAAGATCGACGCACAATTTATCAAATCCAACTGGTCATGTACCATTCCGATAACTAACGACCACTGTTCGACGATGATGGTCGACTGCCGACAAAAAGTTAGGTGGGTGGTCATGTTTTTGTTAATTTTAAAACTTTTATTGTGAGAGGATATTTAGTTAAATTAGCAAATGTAGAGAGTAAAAAATAATCTAAATATTTAGAGACAATGTTTTCCAACAATGTACCAAGCACATTGTCATAATCCTATCCTAATTCCTTTCGCAATTCCCTAATTCCTCTGTAAACCGTTACTGAAATTTTGTAAAAGTATTCACCACGCCACACAGGCAAATTCTGTGAGGGAAGACCCAGTAAATTTGAAGAACGTCACCTGAAAGGAATTGGAGAAGTCCGTTTAACCATTTACACAATGCAATTCCTTATCAACCTGGGGTAGAGCTAGTGATTTGTGGGAAAAAAAAAAAAAAAAAATGGGAAGTGCAAATTACAAGAATTTGCCTGATGCCTTAAAAAAGTAAGAAGTAATTTAAGATGCTATGAATTCCATCTGTTTCACAAGTACAAAATGCCATGCAATTGCTGATTATTAAACAGGACATTGAAGAAACATCCACAAACTGGAAGCACATCGTCAGCAGCTCAAAACCCTCTCCCCCGTCTCTCAGATTGGTTGGCCTTTGGGAACAATTTGATCTTTGAGCCACATGTATATAGGAACCAGTACATAGTATGTTGCAGCCATGGCACCCAATAAGAAGCGCAGAAAGAATACAAACCGATTTACAGGCTTTGATACATCCTCTGTCTTTGGACCAAGCTGCAATGAAATGAAAAATATTAAAGGGTTGAATATTAAGGATTTGCATGGCTGTTAGAAAAAGGGTATAGGATTTCAGTTGCCATTTACACTAGAAACAACAATATATATGTAGTTGCATACTACAGTAGTCTATGGTATCCCGAAAGCACCGAGTTTATTCCAAAAGTTTTTTAGTCCAAATGTAAATCCCTTTTCGCCTTTTAGCCAACTTAAAGAAGGCTGCAGTTGTATTGAATGGTGATAGAATTTTCTTACACCAGCATTTGAAACAATGTTGATTCTACATTTATTCCTGCGAGAAAATACTGCCACCATTCCTTTTCCTAAAATCGTTCTTATTACCATCAAATACTATCTTATTGAATCACAGATGATTCAAGTAAGAACTTGAGTTTCTAATAGTGCATCATGAATCCAAGTCAAGAGTATGTAACACAGAATAGTTCTAATCATCACCTCAAAAGGCGTAAATGAAACAAACACACATAAGTTCTATGAAACTATCAATCATTGTATCTGTTAGGGTGTCAAGCTCTCAACCTAAGTCTGGATTTTTTCCGTTCTGATTTTGTTAAGGTAAACAGTGAAGTTAAGTTTAATAATTTCATCCAAGTGATCAACTTTTCACAAGAAGGCAAGATATTATTGCATAAACTAGAGAGAAGTGAAGCTGAGAGAATAAACACAATACAATTTGGCCAAAAACCAAAGAGTGCAATAAGTTCAAATTATCACCTGCAATGGAGAGTCTCCGGATGCAGGTTTAACACCTGTTACAGAACATCCCATGATTAATCCATGCCGGCGAACTCCTCGATACCATTTTGGGCCAATTCTTTTCAATTGGACATCCTTAAATCCAGCCTTTTGGAACCACTCAATGTATTCTTCCTCTTTCGGAAACAACATCCAAACATCAGCAAAGAAGCGAGACAACCAAAATGTTGGGTACACTGGACCAATTAAACAGGCTTTTCCTCCTAGTTTCAAAACTCTGTATGCTTCCTTGATGCCACGTTGTGGGTCTGGCCAATACTCAATACTGCGAAGATACAATCATATTTTCCAAATAAGAGACATTACAAAGAAAGTTGATCTGTCTCTATCTCAGTTAAAGTAAGTCTTAAATGTAAACCCCTTAGAAAGTCAGCTAAGTTATATTAGTTTTAGTATTAAAAAGAAACTGCATTAACATGCATAACACATTTCCTAAATAAATGCACACACAGATAACGACTTACATATGCAGGTATATTGACTTCCCTCTAATAAATATAACAAACACGTTCGGAGACTATTCTTAATTATTCTTTCAAACTAAATGGAAATAAAACCATTCTGAATTTCTCATTTCTGAGAGCAACTGTAAAATTATAATAAGCAGACATGCAAGAACAACCATAAAATTCTCAAAAATGACCAATTAAACTATCCTGCATAACCAATACCAACGTCACAACTACGAACAATAAAACTTGCCAAAATTTGGCATGTTCATAGATTTCAGGTAAACAAGAAAAGCAATTAAAATCAGCAACTAAGAGAGTTCAAATATACCTCCCAGCAGATACATATCTATCAGCGTAATCAGTAGGAAATGGTAAGTCTTCGGCGTCTCCCTCAATAATCTTACAATCTTTCAATGGCTCCTTCTGCTTCGCCTTAGCAAGCTGATGTGGAGACTGATCAAGAATTGTAACATTCTTGGCATCCACGTGCTTAACAATTCCAAGAGTAGTAAAACCAGTGCCGCCACCAACATCAACAACTATCATATTCCGGTCACTGAGGTCAGCAGGCTCAAGAGCATCATCCCTCATGTCCTCAGTCCAGTGACCAGGGTTTATAACATGGTCATACACAATTGACAGAAATCTATAAAACCAAAACGCCTCCTTTTTGTGTTGAATGAATCTTGGCTGTGAAGCCGACCTAGAAGCTGACAAACTACATTTCAAAGACTTTATGGTTCTAGGTTTAGAGATTAAACCCAATTTGGGAATATGCCTCCCGTGAAAATCAGACCCCAAGAAACCTAACCCCTTTGGGCTTACGCCTCTGGGAAGCGTGAGGTGTTCAGCACCATTCAGCATTGAAGACGCCATAACACGAAAATCCCACAAAGAAAGTTTAGATTTTTACCAGATTTTCAGTGATTTGCAGCCTATTGAAAAACATCCACCAGCAAAATCTTGCAGTTTAACAAAAAATAGTGTTCTTGATTGAAGCTAAAAGAGCAAAAGCAAATGTAAGAAGAAATAGGGCTTACCCGTTACCAGAAGTGAAATGAGGTTTTTGTGTGAGAGTGAGAGTTGTGTTTAAGTAAACAACAACCAGTGGCTGTGGTTCTGTGGAGGAGAATACATTTCAATCACACACATTAACAGAAGAAAACAAAAATAAATAAATTTATATACATTATGTGAGAAATAAGAGACGCGGGGTCCTTTGAAGGGTGACACCAAAGACCACGAAATTCATTCGCCTTCCACCTACGTGGAGTTGCAATTGGCTTTATTCACCACTTCTGTTGGGCATTGAGGATCTTTGGTACAGAAAATGCTGATATANTGACTTCTTCATAATCTTGAACAAGTTGTTCTTCTATAAAATTAACATGGAGCTTAAAGTTCTTCTATCATGCATTTGCAACCTGCTTAATATGAGTAAAAGAATAGATTAGAAATTGTTGATGAGTGATTTTGACATCAACCAAACGCACGTGTGAAATGCTGAGCTGGCCCAGAAGACACACGTGGATGAGAGAAAATAGGTAAAAACAATAGAGAACACCGTTTAAAGTGATTCGGATGTTAAGGAAGCAAATCCTACGTCCACTGATTTAGTATTAAAGATAGCAGTCAGGTCGCGTTCAACGGACTAACTTACAAATGATTATACAAGAGAGAGAATGCTATTTTTTCTTTAAAGAGATTAGCTAATCCCTTCAATGAGAGAGGAGCTCTCAATTTATAGTGAGATGGATTAAGGTTATCATTACTAAATCTGTGAGTTGGTGGGATTATCCGTGCAAATCCTTCTTTATGTCCCATTGCCCACCTTCTAGAGTGATTTACGCGATTTGGTGTAGGGATTGGACACGTGGAGTCACTATAACTCCTGGCTGGTCTGACGCGAACCCACTACCCTAACACGAGCATGCCGCCCCTGTCATTATATGACATGGCTGTCTCTGAATAGCCGCGGGCCTACCTAAGCTCTGACTTTTTATGCTGACTGAGTCTTGCATCAACCCTACATTTTGAGGCATAACAGAAGTCTCCTAGTTTTTAAGGTGCGAGGATCAGACCTTGGAAACTATAATTCATGCCGTGACAAGATGCCTTTGAGGAAACTTTGGTGATCCTGACCTGTATGAGAAGAGGTCGAGACTGCGTTTTCGTGCGCGCGATCTGATACGATCTTCGCTCAAGGATGAACAACCTGATCTCAGACCATATCAGTGCTTTGATTTCGATTTTCCGAAGTTCACGACCTGATTACAATTGGAATTCTCATCTGGATAATAGGATTAGGTTGTTTCGAAACTGGGTTCTCGCCGAGAGTCACGTCGTTTCGCGACCAATGAGGTAGAATCGAGGAGTCACGTTGCTTCGTGACTTGCCAGACGAAGAGTGTTCTACGTAATGATCTCTTCAAATGTTACCTGTTGCATTTTCATAATGGATATATTTAATGAAACGCCTTCTACTCTGACAAGCGTGTCTATGCACAATTAATGCCAGCCATGCGCATTAAATGCGTGACATGCTGAAACGATATACTCTATCAGAGCATTAAATGCAGATTGGGGCGCATTTAATCGGTAGGAGAATCGTGCCATCGTTTGGGTTTTTCAACAGAGAAGGACAACGATTGGGTTTTCTTGGAGCGTGACGGTCACCCTTTCCCGTGGATCTGTGACATGTGGTCGCGATCAACGGGGAGGTACATTTTTCCGCCCAAACGTCGTTTGATTTCAAGAAAACCAAATGCCAGTTCTTTTGCTATAAAACCCAGGTTCGTTTCAGGCAATGCCACCACACATCTTTTCAGAGAGAGCAAGAGACTTTTGCAAACTATGATTCTTTGCCTTCCAAACCAACGCGTACCTAACATTTCGAAGCAGAAGGAACCATCTTCATATTCTGAGAGGTAAGAATTGTTTTCTGTTTTTGTTTCTTAGTCCCAGCAGTTGATAGATGATTGGTTTTCCGGTAGTTGATCGAAGACGAAATGTTCTTGTTGGGTTCGAGCCATGAATGGTGGCTCGAATCATTCTGTTAGGGTTTTTCTGGGATTTAGGAGGAGAAGCATTTGCTTTCCTCCACGTCACCGTACGAAATGGTGTACGAGGGCTAAAAAGATTCCCTGCTTGTCGCTTTTGCAGACTGTAGTAGGATGGACCCCTTAATGACCAGATCCAAGGAAGGGACCAGTTCATCCACGCGGGATGTTCTTGTGAGTCCCACCCAAGAGATCTTCTTGGTACTTATCGAGGATGAGATCAATAGGGTGATAGACCAGTACGGTATCCGCGGGGATGTCTTCCGCGATAGGACGCGCACAGCTCAGCATCAGCCAAGTGAGTTGGCCGCGATCTTTGAGGAAATCTTCAAGGGTGGGGGGTTGATCCCTTTCCACTCTTTTGTCAGGTCGGTCCTGGATCATTTCGGGATCGCACCGATGCAACTCACACCGAACGTGTACATGATTGTGGTTGCTATGTACATTGCGTGTCGCGAGAATGGGTTGGGCGAGCTAACTACAATAGAACTCGGTTGCTCGTACATCCTAAAAAAGAGCAAGGACAAGGACTCCTACTACTTGTCCAAGCGACCTACTATCGCAGCGGGGATACACAATTACCCTAGCAACACAGGGGCCTACGAAACAAAATTTTTCTTCTTTTGTTACGACGGCCTCTACCGCTTCCAGGACCCGAGTAGGTTCTTTTCCCTTAACGGATAATCCCACCAACTCACAGATTTAGTAATGATAACCTTAATTCATCCCACTGTAAATTGAAAGCTCCTCTCTCATTGAAGGGATTAGCTAATCTCTCTAAAGAAAAAATAGCATTTTCTCTCTTGTATAATCATTTGTAAGTCAGTCCGCTGAACGCGACCTGACCGCTATCTTTAATACTAAATCAGTGGACGTAGGATTTGCTTCCTTAGCATCCGAACCACTTTAAATGTTGTTCTCTATTGTTTTTACCTATTTTCTCTCATCCACATGTGTCTTCCGGGTGCTAATATAGAAAAAGAAAGATGTGAAATTCATTACTTTTTTGGCAGTTAACAAAACGACCAGTTTGGATCTCCTCGCGGATCCAGACAGAATTGTAGCCTTTGGTTTCTTGCCCGAAGCGAGTCACGACGTAAAACTGCTCATGACAATCGCAAATCTATGGAGGTACGGCTTCTTCAACATAGACGCGACCTTAGAGCCTCCATCGAGTAAGTTGCGTTAACTGGATCCTTTTTTATTGCGCAATGAACTATCTTTTTACTAACGACGTTCATATGCAGCAACCATGCCTCTGAAGATGTCCGGGTAGCCATGACGAAAGCAGTTTTCTTTCCCTCGGGCGAGCACTGCTAGGATGACCGAATCTGCTCCTAGTGGGCCCCTAGCTGAAGGGGCAACATCAGGGTCTGCGTGTCTTGCTAAGGCTTTCCAACCTTCGGCAGGTGCCCCGATCCGACCTTTGGGTGCTTCCCAGCCTTCGGTTGCTCGCCTGAAGCAGAAGACAACGGCTCAGCGACCTAAGAAGAGGTGACAAATTCGGGTCGAAGAGTCAGAGTCTGAACCAGAGGATCTGGCCGTTCAGCCCGGGGGGTCGCAGCTAAGCATTCCCACTGCTTCGGGAGCATCTCGAACAGGGCAAGGCAAGGTTGTAGGAACCAGAAAAAGGTTAGGTAAGGAACTGATGGGCGACACCCCTACCGGGGGTACCAGCAAGGATACTCCAGTGTTGGACTCGATGGGCCAACTGCCAGATCATTTGCAGTCGGCGGTCTTCGCCTTGCTGGAGTGCGAACTTGCGAAAGTATTTTAAGAGTTCGTGGGTTCCGACCACGTGGACCTGATGTCCACATCAATCCAACACATAGGTAAGGTAAAATGAATTGTCCTCGGCGAGGACTGCCCTTTTGTTCTTAGTAGGAAACTGTCATTCTTCTTGTTCGCGGGCTCTGTTCTCCATGCAACTATCCCTACAAAAGGTTCGACTCGGAGTTGCTGCGGGAGAGGTCGCACTGAAGGAAGAGAATGCAAAGCTCAAACAGGACCTAGAAACCGTCGAAGCAGAAAAGAGGCTATCCACTGAATCGGTGGTCTGGTACCTGAACGAAAGGGATCCGGCTCTTCGCACGGTGGATTTTCAAAAGGCCGAGCTTGAGAAGCACGGGGAGGAGATAAAGGAACTCCAGAGAACTATAGCTAGGCTCTCCAGGGAAGTCGACGAGAAAGATCAAGAGCTAAAAACGACCTCTCAACGAGCCTTACGAGCAGAGCAAGAGAGGGAGGTCTCAGAGAAGCAAAGGCAGGCTCTTGAGGCCGAACTCCAAGCGAGTCAGGGAAAAGTTACTTCGTTGACTGAAGAGATGCAGAACCAAGCAGAGGAGATCGAGGCAAAGGCTACTGAATGGGCGATCGAGTCCATTTATGCCTTGCGGCCGAAGAATCCGCAGATTGATATGTCCAACCTCCCGAAGGATTGGCGGGAAACTCTCCTTTCCATGGTGCGGTGCGCGGATGAGGAAGCAGCGGAGGCCGCCCGAGGATTTGATCAGGGAGATGCTTCGGGACACGCCCCCGATGAACCTACAACCGACCAGGAGAATGGCGACTAGCCCTGAGATGACGAGGTCGATCCTCTGGGAGTCAAGAATCATGACCGATAATTGTAATGTTTTTGGGATATTGTCTTGTTCGCTGTACTTATTAATGAAATGCATCTTTCTTAATCTCTAGCACTTACAATTACTGTACCTTATGAGATCACATTCTAACCGTTTATAACATTAGAACAAGTATATGCGAACATAATTATAACATGTTTATACGAACAGAATTACATGCGAAGATTATTACAAAAGAACAGGATAATACACTTGTTATTTACATTCACAAAGATTGTGAAAAATAAAATCTTTACAAGGAAAAAACTAGTTCGGAATTACTGATAATATGGTCGGAGATGCTCAGCATTCCAAGCTTAGGGTACTTCAGAACCATTCAGCCTTTTCAGATGATAAATCCCTGGTCTTATCACTTTGGCAATGCGGTATGGACTTTCCCAGTTCGGTCCTAAAACTCCTGCGCTTGGTTCTCTAGTACCAAGAAAAACTTCCTTCAAAACAAGGTCGTCGACCTGGAACTCTCT